GTTCCTCAGTAGACACAAAGGATATTCTCCTCACAAAAATCTTTCATATTCTTAAAAATAGACATTAAGCTCCAATTTTGACTTCTCTTATTTTTGTAAAAATTCCGATCCATTCAATTTTTCTTGCAGGAAAAAAATAACAACCAGTTGCAATCGAGTTAATGCTGACTCATGGAGACCCCATGTGCACAGAATAGAGCTGCACTTCTCCAAAGGTTTTTCTTCCAAGGTACCTCTAGGTAGATTTGAACCTTCGACCTTTCAGTTAGTAGTTGAGTGCTTAAAGGAGCACCACCCAGGGACTCCTTTTGTTCTTTGCAAAACCCATCTTTTATTCCTTCAATCTTTTTTTTTTTTTTCTCTCATTTTCAATCTTTGAATCTGCTCCTGGATGTAGAATAGAAAACGTTCTTGTATGGTATATAACATCCCTTTCTGTAAATCCCAACATTATGTGTGTGTGTGTGTGGTTTTTTTTGGTCCCATCAGAGAACTACAATGCTACCTCATATTCAGCTTGTAATTCTGATCACAGATCTTGCCCCTGTACATTTGTGCCTTTCTCCCTTTTCTTTATGTGAATTAGTCTTTCATGCCCGAAGTATACTTTCTTCTTGAATTTGTGCCTGTGTTGTTGAATTTCATTCTCTTTATGAATTTTTGATTTGTCAAGGTCACTTTTAAATTTGATTCTCATCCTCCAGAGTACTGGCGACGTCACCTCATTTATTATCATCCCTTTTTTCTCTATTGAAAGCAGTAACTATACATATTTAGGAGGAAAGCTCCCTGTGGTCTATTATGATACACAAGTGTGCAGGTTACGAAGGTGACGTCATATTTTTCTCCTGACGGCAACGGGTTTTCTGTTTGTTTGTTTGTTTGTTTGATTTAGCTCAGCAACATGCCCAGAAGAGGAGCCATATGTCCACAGAGTAGCAGCTAGTGACACTCTGGAGGGGCTTGGCCTTCTCAGTCCCACTTACTGTCCGCAGGAGTGGTCTCTACCCTCAGTGAGAGATTAATGATCTCCAAGGCACAGGTCTCCTATCAATCTAGGCATCTGTCCTACAATCTAATTTGCAATACAACTCAGAGCATAGATTGAAAAATCACCCAGTGAAGGGTAAGACAGTACACAATACTGGGAAGCCAGCACAACTTGTACAAGGCAAGGTCTTGGAAGCTCCATAGACACATCCAAATTCCCTGAGGGATCGAATTGCTGGGCTGAGGGCTGTGGGGACCATGGTCTCAGGGGAAATCTAGCTCAATTGCCATAATATAGTTTATGAAGAAAATGTTCTACATTCTAACTTCGTGTGTAGCATCTGGGGTCTTAAAAGCCTGTGAGCAGCCATCTAAGATAAGATACTCCACTGGTCACCCCTTTGGGAGCAAGGGAGAATGAAGAAAACAAGATACAAGGAAAGGATTAGTCCAAAGGACTAATGGACCACAACTACCACGGCCTCCACCAGACTGAGTCCAGTACAACTAGATGGTGCCCAGCTACCACTACTGACTGCTCTGACCAGGATCACAACAAAGGGTCCCAGATAGAGCTGGAGAAAAATGTAGAACAAAATTCTAACTCATAAAAAAAGACCAGACTCAATGGCCTGATAGAGACTGGAGAAACCCCAAAAGCATGGTCTCTGGACATTCTTTTAGCTCAGTAATGAAGTCACTCCCAAGGTTCACCGTTCAGCCAAAGATTAGACAGCCCCATAAAACAAAATGAGACTAAAGCGGCACAACAGCCCAGGAACAATGACTAGAAGGTAGGAGGGACAGGAAAGTTGGTAATAGGGAACCCAAGGTCAAGAAGGGAGAGTGTTGACATGTCGTGGGGTTGTTAACCAATGTCATAAAACAATATGTGTACTAACTGTTTAATGACTACTTGTTCTGTAAACCTTCATCTAAAGTACAATTTTAAAAATTTTAAAAAAAAAAGAAAGATCACCCAGGCAGGCCCAGCATCTCTGCAGGAAGGGACCACAGGCTATGAAGACCCTATTCTCCACTACAGGTTGCTGTGCTTTCCAGGTTATAACACCTGGGGGCCCCAGTCTGAATCTTTTGTAAGAATGAGCAACAATTAAAGTGGTGACTTCGTTGACTCAAAAATGAGCTGCTAAAAATAGTACACATTTTGTCTGGGTTACATTAGAGATAAGGAAGTATATAGACAAACTTTGACCAAGAGGGCAAACAAGGCTGATGTGCCAGAAGTTTTGGCTGTCGCACCAGGAGAGTAGAGAGGACTGTTAAACAGAGGCCATAGAGATGGGCTCAAGTTTCCTGGGACTCCAGCTAAAGAAGAAAACTTTTTTAAAATAATATTTTATTGTGTTTTTGGTGAGAGTTTACACAGTGGATTAAGTTCCCATTTAACAATTTCTACACAAATTATTCAGTAATATTAATTACATTTTTAACAATGTGTCAACATTCTTATTAACTCCATTCTGGTTGTCACATGAGTCCTTTTTTCTTTCCTAAATTTTATTTATTTTGTTGTTGTTGCTGAGAATATATACAGCAAAACAAACACCAATTCAACAGTTTCTGCATGTACAATTTAGTGACATGGATTACATTATTCAAGCTGTGCAACCATTCTCACCCTCCTTTTCTGAGTTATTCCTCCCTCATTAACATAAACTCACTGCCCCCTAAGGCTCCTATCTAATCTTTCAAGTTGCTGTTGTTGATTTGATCCCATTTAGATAGTTCTTAAAAGAACATAGTGCTGAAGGCAGAACTTTTTTCTAGTTAAGCTGAACTATGGTTTTAAGATAACCTCAGGGGCTGTTTTTGGTTTAAGGTTTAAAGATTATTTCAGGGCAATAATTTCAGTGGTTCATCCAGCCTCCATGGCTCCAGAAAGTCTAGGGTCCATGAGAATTTGAAATTCTGTTCTACATTTTCCCCTTTTGATCAGGATTCTTCTATGGAATCTTTGATCAAAATGTAAAAGAAAACTTTGCAAAGAAAGAGCAATTGTCATACTGCATTCTCAAGTAGTAGATAAATTGCTTATGTTAAAAAAAAAAAAAAAACCATTGCAGCTGAGTCAATTCAGATTCATGGCAACCCCTTGTGTTACAGAGTAGAACTGTTTCATAGAGTTTTCTTGGCTATAATCTTTATGGAAGCAGATCACCAGACCTTTCTTACATGGTGCTTTTGGGTGGGTGTGAACGACCAACCTTTAGGTTAGTAGTCAAGCACAAACCATCTGTGCCACCTAGAGGCCTTAAATTACTTAATACAAGGTATAAATGTCAGGCCACAAATTCAGCAGTGCAAGAAATGTTACTTTATTATCCAGAACTGAACCTTAATTTCCGTTTTGAGCTGTGTACCACTGGATGGTGGTAACTGAATCTGACAATTGATTCTCTTCCATCCCTAGGGGCCCAGGGTCTCATGAGTTCCCAGACATAGGTAGGAGTAGGGTATATATATCTGGTAGGAGTCACCGTCACCTATCCACACTGGCATCTGCAAAGAAGTCTGTCATTCTGTCTGACCAATAACCCTGGTCCTGAGCAGGTGTCCTGGTTCTCTCCATCCCAACTGCAGGGCTTCTTCAGATCTGCCCTCCCCCTACCCAGCTTATTCCATGTTTCTCAGAACAAGAGAACATGGTGGGGTGGCTAAAACCCCTCACCTCCTTTGTGCTGTGTTCAGGGGCAAAGGGCCACTATGAGGTTCTCGTGGACCTATTGCCAAAATATCCTGGCAGACTTTTCTGCTGTAGTGCTCCTGCACTGAGGGGTTCTCTAAGGTATCCTGGGGCCTTTCCATTTTCCCGAGTTTCATTCTGAAACAAAGTATGGTCCCCTCTACTCTGGGATTCCCTGAAACTATGGAGCTTCTGTATGTGGAAACGTGCACACGTGGCCTGAGTTCATGCAGTTACACACACACATAGGCATAGAGCTTATTCTCAAGGACCTTCCAGAATCTAATCTCTTTTCTCTGTTTTCAGTTGGGGGTGGCAGTGCTGAGGGTTTATAGCATGCTTTCTCTTACTAAACCTTCTTCAAAAATTTTTCTTTATGGCATAAATTTTATTTCCCAATTATTCAAGATTTAGACCTTTGAAAGTAAAAAGTCTGTGTTCTTGAAGCTTACAAGGCTTGCCTATGTTTTTCTTATGAATCATCCCTCCCCTGGGGGCAATGAATGCTGCTGACTGAATAGTGGCCCTGGTGGCACAATGGTTAAGCGCTTGGCTGCTAACTGAAAGATCGGCGGTTCGAACCCACCGGCCACTCTGCTGGAGAAAGATGTGGCAGTCTGCTTCCATAAAGATTACAGCCTTGGAAACCCTATGGGACAATTCTACTCTGTCCTATAGGATTGCTATGAGTCAGAATCGACTGAATGGTAGCAAGTTTGGTTTTCATTTAGAATATACAAGGAACTGATGAGAGAGGGTAGAAACCCCGTTACTATCTCAAAGCCTTCTCCAACCGCACTTGCAAAGGAAGGGAGAGATTACTATGAAACTAACTAAATCAGAAGCTCAGCTTGAAGGTCTTAGGAATTTCAGGTGGCAGAAAACTAAAGGTCCAGTTTATATGTTCACATGACCACTGGTCCGTAGAGCAAATGTTATTGAGAATTCCAGGGAACAGTAAATTATCTGTCTCAAGAGATGGCACAGGAGCAATGAGAACCAGGCAGGGCTCCTCTGCTCTGGGGTTGAGCTTCCTGACCAGAGGCTGGTCAGCTTTCACATGCCTTCAAGTTGCAACCGGCCAGTTCCTGCGAACTTTTAATCTTCTTATTCAAGATTTTATTGTTTCCTTGGCATAAGCTGTTTCCTGGCTGGGATTCTCATCTGACTCATTTTATAAAATAATCCTGTAATAGAGGGCATGCATGCCTAAAAAACCCCCAAAGAACAAATGTAGTTTCTGCTCTCCATGTTAGAAGTTGTGTGTGTAGGGGTTACTCAGCCTTCTTGAACACTCTTGCAGATGGCTACGAGTTCCTGGAGATCCTGAAACAGGTTGCCCGGGACAATACCGACAACCCTGATCTGAGCATCGTGTGGATCGACCCGGATGACTTTCCTCTGGTGAGTGGCTCAGGCCAGGGCACCACCCTTGGTTCTTTTTTTTTTTTAATTGTACTTTCGATCAAGGTTTACAGAACGAACTAGCTTCTCATTAAACAGTTAGTACACATATTGTTTTATGACACTGGTTACCAACTCCATGACATGTGAACACTCTCCCTTGTCAACATTGGGTTCCCAATTACCAGCTTTCCTGTCCCCTCCTGCCTTCTAGTCTTTGCCCCCGGGCTGCTGTGCCCCTTTAGTCTCATTTTGTTTTATGGGGCTGTCTAATCTTTGGATGAAGGGTGAACCTCAGGAATGACTTCATTACTGAGCTAAAAGGGTGTTCAGGTACCATGCTCTCGGAGTTTCTCAGTCTCTGTCAGTCCGAGAAGTCTGGTCTTTTTTTTGTGAGTTGCTCTACATTTTTCTCCAGCTCTGTCCAGGACCCTCTGTTGTGATCCCTGTCAGAGCAGTCAGTGGTGGTGGCTGGGCACCATCTAGTAGTACTGGACCCAGTCTGGTGGAGGTTGTGGTAGTTGTGGTCCATTAGTCTTTTGTATTAATCTTTCCCTTGTATCTTTAGTTTTCTTCATTCTCACTTGCTCCCAAAGGGGTGAGACCAGTGGAGTATCTTATATCACTGCTCACAGGCTTTTTAAGACCTCAGGCACTACTCAGCAAAGTAGAATGCAGAACATTTTCTTTATAAATTATGTTATGCTAATTGAGCTAGATTTCCCCTGTGACCATGATCCCCACAGCCCTCAGCCCAGCAATTAGGTCTCTCAGGGAGTTTGGATGTGTCTATGGAGCTTCCATGACCTTGCCTTGTACAAGTTGTGCTGGCTTCCCCAGTACTGTATACAGTCTTACCCTTCACCAAAGTTACCACTTATCTATTGTCTATTTAGTGTTTTACCACCCCACCCCTCCTCTCCCTCATAACCATCAAAGATGGTTTATTTTTATGTGTAAACCTTTTCATGATTTTTATAGTAGTGGTCTCAAGCAATATTTGTCCTTTTGTGGTTGACATATTTCACTCAGCATAATGCCCTCCAGATTAATCCATGTTGTGAGATTCTTCCCAGATTGATCATTGTTGTTTAAGGTTGTGTAGTACTCCATTGTGTATATGAACCCTAGTTTGTTTATCCGTTCATCTGTTGATGGGCATCTAGGATGTTTCCATCTTTTTGCTGCTGTGAACAATGCTGCAATGAATATATGTCTAGGTGTGCATATGTCTATCTGTGTGACAACTCTGATTTATCTAGGATATATTCCTAGGAGTGGGATTGCTGGATCATATGGTACTTCTATTTCTAGCTTTCTAAGGAAGTGCCATATTGTTTTCCAAAATGGTAGTATCATTTTGCATTCCCACAAGCAGGGCATAAGAGTTCCGATCTCCCCACAGCCTCCCCAGCATTTTTTATTTTCTGTTTTTTTGATTAGTGCCAGTAATGCCGGGGTGATATGGCATCTCATTGTGGTTTTGATTTGCATTTCTAGAATGGCTAGTGATCGCGAACATTTCCTCAGTGTCTGTTAGTCACTTGAATGTCTGCTTTGGTGAAGTGTCTGTTCATTTCCTTTGCCCATTTTTTAATTGGTCTATTTGTCTTTTTGTTGTAGAGGTGTTGGATTTTCTTGTAGATTTTAGAGATTAGACCTTTGTCAGGTTTGTAATAGCCAAAATTTTTTTCCCAGTGTGTAGGTTCCCGTTTTCCTCTTTTGGTGAAGTCTTTTGATGAGCGTAAGTGTTTAGTTTTTAGAAGATCCCAGTTATCTAGCTTATCTTCCAAAGTTTGTGTGTTGTTACTTATGTTTTGTATCCTGTTAATGATGTGTAATAGGGCCTCTAGAGTTGATGCTATTTTCTCTTTTATGATCTTTATGGTTTTTGGTTTTATATTTAGGTCTTCAATTCATTTTGAATTAGTTTTTGTGTATGGTGTGAAGTATGGGTCCTGTTTCTTTTTTCTGCAGATGGACATCAGTTTTGTCAGCACCATTTGTTAAAAAGACTGTCTGTTCCCCATTTGATGGACTTTGGGCCCTTGTTGAAGATCAGGTGACCATAGATGGATGAATTTATATCTGGGTTGTCAATTCTGTTCCATTGGTCAATGGATCTGTCGTTGTACCAGTACCAGGCTGTTTTGACTACCGTAGCTGTATAGTAGGTTCCGAGGTCAGGTAATGTGAGTCCTCCTACCTTATTCTTCTTCTTCAATAGTGCTTTACTTATCTGGGGCTTCTTCCGTTTCCATATAAAGTTAATGATTAGTTTTTCCATCTCTTTAACAAAAGTCGTTGGTATTTGGATTGGGATTACACTGTATTTGTACATTGCTTTGGGTAGAGTTGTCATTTTCACAATAGTGAGTCTACCTGTCCATGACATGGTATGTTTTTCCATTTACGTAGATCTCTTTTGGTTTCTTGCAGTAGGTTTTGTAGTTTTCTTTGTATAGGTCTTTTACATCCCTGGTTAGATTTATTCCTAAGTTTTTTTTTTGTTTAGTTTTGTTTTTTAGGGTCTATCATAAATGGTATTGTATTCTTGATTTCCTTTTCAGCTTTCTATTTATTGGTGTATCGAAATCCAACTGATTTTTGTATGTTTATCTTGTATCCTTCTACTCAGCTGAATCTTTCTATTAGTTCCGGTAGTTTTCTCGTGAAGTCTTTGGGTTTTCTATGTATAGTATCATATCATCTGCAAACAGGGACAGTTTTACTTCTTTATTACCAATTTGGATGCCCTTTATTTCTTTTTCTTCCCTTATTGCTCCAGCTAGGACCTGCAGCACAAAGTTAAATAGGAGTGGTGATAAAGTGCATCCTTGTCTTGTTCCTGTTCTCAAGGGGAATGTTTTCAGCCTCTCTCCACTAAGAATGATGATGGCTGTTGGTTTTGTATAGATGCCCTTTATTATGTTGAGAAATTTCCCCTCTATATCTATTTTATTGAGAGTTTGTATCAGGAATGGGTGTTGGACTTTGTCAAATGCCTTTTCTGCATCGATTGAGATGATCATGTGATTCTTTTCTTTCCTTTTATTTATGTGATGGATTACGTTGATTGATTTTCTGATGTTGAACCATCCTTGCATACCTGGTATGAATCCTACTTGGTCGTGGTGTATTATT